TCCGATCTAACTGCGACGTCCTGATCGTACTGCGACATTCTAATCTAACTGCGACGTTCTGATCGTACTGCAACATTCTAATCTAACTGCGACGTTCCGACCTAACTGCGACGTTCCGATCTAACTGCGACGTTCCGATCTAACTGCGACGTCCCGATCGTACTGCGACATTCTAATCTAACTGCGACGTTCTGATCTAACTGCGACGTTCCGATCTAACTGGGACGTTCTTATCTAACTGCGACGTCCTGATCTAACTGCGACGTTCCGATCTAACTGCGACGTTCTGATCTAACTGTGACGTTCCGATCTAACTGCGATGTTCTGATCGTACTGCAACATTCTAATCTAACTGCGACGTTCTGATCTAACTGCGACGTTCCGATCTAACTGTGACGTTCTGATCTAACTGTGACGTTCCGATCTAACTGCGATGTTCTGATCTAACTGCAATGTTCTGATCTAACTGCGATGTTCCGATCTAACTGCGATGTTCTGAACTAACTGCGATGTTCTGATCTAACTGCAACGTTCTGATCTAACTGCGACGTTCTGAACTAACTGCGACGTCCTGATCGTACTGCGATGTTCCGATCTAACTGCGATGTCCGATCTAACTGCGATGTTCCGATCTAACTGCAACGTTCTGATCTAACTGCGACGTTCTGAACTAACTGCGACGTTCTGATCTAACTGTGACGTCCTGATCGTACTGCGATGTTCCGATCTAACTGCGATGTTCCGATCTAACTGCGACTCCAGCTTAGAAAACATTCTGCATCACTGGAGAAGTAGAACCTAAAGCAGCTTTATTGATAGACTGAGGGCAGAAGCCCGCGTCATCACTCCTCCACCGACCGTGCCCTAAATAAATATAAATGTTCGTTTCACAGTCAGCAGGTCGTCTCATAAGACCCAAAGAAGTGACGAAGACCTCCTTTCTGTGTGATGAAGAGTTCTCGGCTGATTGTCATTTTGAAGCCTTACTGCCAGAAAAAAGCTCTGCACTGATGGGAAATGATGTCATCATCTGTTCAGCATAAATCTGACCTCAGAGTTTCCGTTAGAATCAGAAAAGATTCAGATTTTCCACAGGAAACGTTAGAAAGTTTCAGGCGTTACTGTCAGCACCTTTCTGTGAACACAGAACCAACAGATGCAGAAAACATCTGGACTCGGATCAGGAGCCAAACCAGAAGCTCTGATTTCTGCTTTGCTTTCATTGCTGATTGATAATAAGAATAATAATACGTTTCATTTCAAAGGAACCTTTCTGGACACTCCTGGACACCGTACAAAGATAAAAACACAACAGAATTTAAGAACACAAAGGCTGGAACAGAGAGATTAACATGAAAGAGAATCTTAAACAGATGAGTTTTTAGTGGAAATGGAGAAGTGAGTCTGTGTTTGTCAGTGAGGATGGTAGAGATGCTTCCTAAGAGGAGGCAGAGCAGGTAAAGTTATTGATACGGGATTAAAAGGCTCTTAATCTGGAGGGACGGTGAGATGGAGGAACTGTCAATCATCAGGAGGAAGCTGCCAATAAGGAGAAGCTCAGTTTTACTGCTGTTCAAATGAAGGAAGTTGTTGGTGAATAAGGCCTTTATTCCAGGGGGGGGGGGGGGGGGTAGAGCTGGGTGTCATGATGAAATCATTTCTCTCTAATAATTAGAATAGACGCCTGCCGGAAAGTCGCGTCCGATTGCTACATTTTATCAGAAAGTTCGTCAGAAGTTTCCTTTGATGATGAGGAAGGCCTCCTTACCATCACCCTCATCTTTAGCTGCACCCTGTGAGGTCGCCTCGTTCTTTACGCCCTAAAACAGGATGGATTCAGAAATTATTCAGAGGCTTTCATGGCCCATCGTCAT